TCTCTCTCTCTCTCTCTCTCTCTCTCTCTCTCCTTCTCTCTCTCCCTCTCTCTTTCATCCTGAAATCTACATGCATGACAATCAAAGGTCACCCAGAAGGCATAACAAGCAAAGATACACAAGTATCATGAGCAAAATACTCTGGAACCACAACACCCCAGAGTTGCATCAGCAGGTTGGCAGCCTGCTGGGGAAACCAGGAAGCACATGTGTAGGAGGACCCTGTCTTGGGTAGGTACAGAACAAAAGCCAAAATCAAAGGCATAAATAAAGATTAAGTAGGATTTAAGAAGAGGCATGAAGTGAAGAAAATGCTTACATAGCTGAGCATGCAACCAGTAGCTCTAGGCTAGGGAATGCCTTTTCAAGTCAGTCTGTGTTTGCCAACACACACTTATAGAGCCTCCTTGTATATGGCTTTATGATGCGCTAAGAATGCTGGAAGTGGAAAGCATCTTTATAAGTCTCGTTACTTACTGATCAAGAGGTATAACCGTATTACTGATCAACAGAATAAGACATGAATAGATTAAGCATTTTTTTAAAAGTAGATCACATAGTCATAAATTTAACAAATATTTTTTATTGATATCTACTGTGTGCCAGGCACTGTTTTACACATTAAAGCTATAACAATGGAAGGAAAAAACAATAACAATAGATAAAAATTCTTGCTGCAAGGGATCTCATAATCTTCTAGGAGCTTATCTTGTGACAGAGTACTTAAAACACTGCAGACATTGAATTTCTTTGGCCTCAGATCAGAAGGCAGTTTTTATGACAGGATTAGAAGTCACATTACCTAATTCCAAAGTTACTGTAATTTCCATTTTGCTACAGATAGATTATGATGGTAACTCAAAAATTATATGTTCTGTCCTTATAAAGCTCAGATTCTAGGGCTGGAGAGATGGTTAAGAGAACTGGCTGCTCTTGCAGAGGACCTGGGTTCGATTTCCAGCACCCACATGGCAGATAACAACCATCTGTAACTCCAGCTCCAAGGGATCTGATGCCTCCTCAGGCACTGCAAGACACAGATGTACTTACATACATGCAGGCAACAAACTCACACACATAAAATAAATAAAATATTTATAAAAGTAAAAAATAGCCGGTGTGGTGACATGCCTGTAATCCCAGCACTCAGGGAGGCAAAGGCAGGCGGATCTCTGAGTTCAAGGCCAGCCTGGTCTACATAGTGAGTTCCAGGACAGCTGGGGCTACAGGGAGACCCTGTCTCAATACATAGTGAGTTCCAGGATAGCTGGGGCTATAGGGAGACCCCTTAAAAAAAAAAAAAAAAAAAAAAAAAAAAAGTTAAAAATTAATAAATAAAAACTAAAGCTCAGATTCCAAGCTGAATAGTGGAACATACTGAGGAACTGAGCAATGGACAAAAATGAAGAAACAGAAAGATCGGTAATTGTGTGGATAAATACAAGACATACTCAACATGAATTTTTTTAAGGTTATCGATTTCTCCCTTCATTTGAGTTGAAGTATAAAACTAGGAATGAGCGCTGTGGGGAAGGGACCATCATTACAAGCGCACTAGCAAAGAATTTAGAACAGTGGTTACCTCTTGGTGGTCCAGCAAATGTAGTGAAGAGTGTACAGGCAATCTTAATAAAACTCACAATGTTATAGTTCTCAAACTGAGTGGTGAGCTCAAGGGTCCACTCACTATTAAAGGAAAGATGTTAGGATATGCAACCAAATAAGGGAGCGAAATCTAGAGCACAAGTGCTAATGAAGGTCATGAAATATGACCCAAAAGACATAAAATGGTGATATTAATGTTATCAGCCCTTAGCAGGAAAACCAATAAAATAATGGCTCTCTCTTCTCTATCTTCTCCTCACCTACGACTGACAGCAATGGTCGCTGAGTAGGGATGAGAGTTGGGGACTCACTAGTAGAGGTAGTAGCTTTGAAACCTATGTATGGGGCTGCTGTCTATGCTTGGGTAGAACAGCAGTCATGCCATTCTCCCACCTCATTTTCACTTATTTCTTGTGCTGATGGGAGCCCATTTCTCTAGCATGCTAGCCAAGGGCTCTACCACTAAGCTCTACTCCCTACATTTTATTTCTTAACAGGACTCTTGGGGTCCAGTCTTTCAGTGGTCTAAAGAAAAAGAAATGGGGGGATGTTATCACTTTACTTTGAAAGACCAGATTTCTTGTCTTCTATCTCCATGCTGCAAGCCAGTACCCGGCCTTGGCTGTTCAAATGACAGGCTCTGACTTGCATGATGGGCAGTGTGAATCAGGCCCCTCCCCAATGTATTATCCCTCCACCAATTATCTCTGAGCTGTACCAGAAATCAAACCTGAGCTTTAAATTATTCCGAGCTAGTGAGGGGGTTGTATTTCTTAGCCCTAATAACCACTTAAACTACTAAAATTTAATTCCCTCGAGGCACCCATCCTGATAGAAGCCCTCCCAAGGGCACCACTGAGGGGGCAGGTGCTTAAGTGTTTTTGGATGATTCAGTCACCTGTTTCCAAATATTATCTAACTAGCTTCGCCCCCTTCTCTCTGAGCTCCCCTGAAGGCTTAGGTCTGGGCACATTAGCACCTTCCCCACTCGGATAACCAAACTCTCCCCCTGCTGGACGCTGCAAGTTAAGGACGGAGCGTGGGAGCGGCCCGGAAGACACCTGCACAGCAGGCCTGGGTGGGAGAAGACCGGTCCTGACCCGGGATCAGACCCGTCCTCGGGGAGGGAAGGATCCCGCAGAAGGCCTGGCGGGCAAGGGTCTGGCGAAGCCGAGCCGCCTCACCTGCACTTGTGCCGGCCCTCAGGATTATGAGCAGCGACAGGCCAAACACAGAGCGCGGGACGACCATGCTGGCGAAGGTCTCAGGTCAACGTATCCGGACGGGGAGGGGCCTGTAGTGCGATAGGCGGGGCAGGAGGTGTGGGCGTGGTCTGGGGGGCCCGGAGGAGGGCTCCACCTCTTGGCCTTCACTGCGCAAAACCATCCGCGGCTCCGCATGAGGCGCTCCCCTCTCCTTCCCGGCTCCCGTAGTTAAAAAAAAAACGTTACCCAGCAACGAGCTAAAACAACCAGAACCATCGGCACCAGTTGGAAGATACTCCCAACGACGCGGAGGCCTCGCCTTTTTCCTTCCCGTGTCCTATTCTCCCGGCATCGCCGACACTCCGGGAATCTGGGGCGGACCGGGAACCTAGGCAGCGGGTTTTGGGAGAATCTGGAACGTTGGCGCTCGACGTCCCACCCACGGTTTGACCAGTCTTCCCCCCGGTCCGTCCTCTCTCTGTGCGGGTCTCACCTAGACTCTTCACAGCCCTGCGGTGATTCCGTAGTCACCTGCTTCCCCCAAGAGAAGCCGGGAAGCCTGTCCACAGATTAGGGCCCCCAGCCCCCAGCGCACACCCCTCCCAGCGCCCCGCCTTGTTCCTCGTGCACCTTCTCCAGTAACCCTAGATAGGCAAACACCCAAGGACCAGCCCTGTGTTACAGAACACTAGCTGGGCGTGGTGGCTCACGCCTGAAGTCCCAGCGCTTGGGAGGCAGAGGCAGGCAGATCTCTGTGAGTTTAAGGCCAGCCTGGTCTACATGGTGAGCTCCAGGCCAGCTGGGGCTACAGGGAGACCTTAGCGAGTTCCAGGTCAGCTGGGGGCTACAGGGAGACCCTGTCTCAAAAAGACTAAGAAGACCTGGTCAAAACCAAACCAGAAATCGAGACTCCCAGAAACTTCCAAGGCTGAGATTTCAAAACCATGGCCTTCCTCCCTTTCTGAATCCCCATCCCAGAATACAGGTGCATTAAAAGGTCAGGCATTAGATGTGGCAGCTGGGGGTGGGGGGGGCGCGGAGGGAGTGAAATTCTATTCAACAAATTAGAGTAATTTCTATGTAGTACCTAAACTGGTTTAATATTTTTTTAGACCTTAAACACGGTCTTCTCCGAAATGTAAAATTAAACTAAATATTGAGGGTTAGCAGAACTACTTCTTTAAGGACAGGAAGACGGAAAAAGTACTTAATGTCACAATGAAAACACAGTTTTGTAATGAAAAAACAATAGTTTGTCCTGTTGAAAGGGTCTGTATAATACTATAATTCATAACTATTGGGGAAAAAAAGCACACATGGGTCATGGGAAAATTTTTTATTCATTATTTTGTGGGGGGGGGGGCGGTGCGCACATGCCACAGGGGTTGTGGAAGTCAGAGAACAGCTTGTGGGAGTAAGTCCTCTCCTTCCACAATGTGAGTCCCAGGGATCGAACTCAGGTCATCAAGTTTGATGACAAGCAACTTTACCCACTGAGCCATCTCCATGACCTTGGGTTTTGGGGAATTTAAAAACAAAGTTGAAGTTCAGAAAATCTGGGTCTGAGAAATAATTTGAGTTATGACTGTGAGTTGGGTTGTAGTTGTGACTATGCAATTAAAATTAGGAACATTAAAAATTGGACACTTTTTAATGAATCTCTAGGTGCCATAGGCAGTTCTTCCCAAGGAGATGTCGATTCCATTCTCAAACACCCACTGCCGAATTCCTCAAGGATTTGGAAATCTTCTTGAAGGGCTGACACGGGAGATTCTGAGGGAGCAACCGGAAAATATACCAGCTTTTGCCGCAGCATACTTTGAGAACCTTCTAGAGAAAAGAGAGAGTAAGCTTTTTTTTAAAATGGGCTTTTTAAAAAAAAAAATTAAGTATTTTGTTATGGTAAAAGTTAAGATAAAAGAAGCTACTCTGGCATACACACACACACACACACACACACACACACTCAAACACTTACACAGGAAGACACGAATGCACACCACAAACCATACACATACCAAAAAAGCCTTAAGACCATCTTCGCTGTATGGAAAGCCTTTATGAGGCAGGTGGTTTCAAATAATTTGTTTTGCTGTCTGAAACAATATGAACCTCTTGGACAGTGTCTCTTAGTTTCACATTATTCAAGACTACCAGTTTACCTGCCCCCCGCCCCCAGCACTTTTACTGTATTTCTCAGGGACACACAGTATGGAAGGAGATTTTAAAGAATCCTTCAGTATACCTCTCCACTCTCCCCTAGACTTGTTCTCATGCATCCCCACTCGTTGACTGCCTGTTCTTCCTGAGAGGATAATTTGCAGTTTTCTTTAAATTTTGGTTCTTCTCATTTGAAAGTATTATAAGTGTTATAAAAATAATTCAACACTCCTTAGATGAAATAAATTGGTATTCACTGAGGTATATGAAACTGCTTTTTAATAAAGGCACAGAGACCGACTGCTTTGAAAGGTGAACTGCCAGTTTGGAAAACTGATCTCCATTCTTTATACTCTTCAAGTTCCACCCTGTCCAGAGACTAAGATTCACACTAACAGTAGCTCTTTGGTTGAGAGACAGATTTCTTCACTTCCATAAATGAAATTTCCAAATCCTATCCTTGAAGGCTCAAGACTTTCAGCCTAGTGGTCAAGAGGGGAAAAAAACATACTCTTGACTAGAACAACCGTTTTATAAAGCTTTCTTATCTTTTGATTATAGTATTCCAACAGAGTGGTAGACTAGAGATAGTCCCAAGCAAACAGACATTCCATTTTAAATCATTTTGCAGAAAGGAAATCCAGCAAAAGGCTTCAATTTAAAAAGTTCACAAGGCTTGAATTTAAAAAGCTCACACTGGACAGCTCCACCCCCTTCTCTGCTGGCCTTCAGGAGCTCACAGTTTCTACCAATTTCCTGACAACTACTGGTCTTTTCCATATCCAGTCAGAATGAATATTTGCTGCACATTCTGAAAATTTAGGGGGAAAAGGTTATTAAAATAAATCCTTTGGTGAAAGAAGTGAACTTTCATGAACATGAATTTCGTTATTAAAACATTAATTTTACAAATTCATGCAGTAAAAGTCTTTAGTCATTTGTTTAATTTTAGAACTCAGGAACATACCATTGCAAAAACATTTGAGTCATTGTTACCAGATCACAGTAATCAAAAGCAATTGATGATTCAACTAATGGCCTCAGAATGCTAGTTCTCTAACTAATAAACAATGGCTAAAACCATTTGAAAACTATTTACCCACCATACCCACTTCCACCTGTGTTATCAGGTACATCATCAGCTGATACAGTATAAGAATTTAGTCTCTGCAAGTAAAGGCAAAATATATCATTGTGGACTTCTAGTCCAGTTTTCCACACAATTTTCTGTGACAGGAAACGTATTAATATATAATGTAAGTGATCTCAAATCACCAGGGAAAAATAGACCTCTTAAATGATATTGAGATAAGAATGGAAAAACAAACTTGTATCAGTTCTGTATATCATACACTGAGATAAATTCTAAATTGTTTGGGGATTTAAATATTTTAAAACAAACCATACAAATGCTAGGAGAAAATAAAGAGTAATTTCTCTATCACATGAGAAAACATGTTGCTTGCTCAGTTGCCTTCATTGCTTCAAAACCCAGATACAGCTAAGGAACAGAATGATGGAACTGACAACATGAAAGTAAACTTTTATATAACAGTTGACACACCATGAAGAAAATGAAAATACAAATGATAAACTGAGAAAAGATATTTGCAATTTACAACCCAGTAGGTTAATAAATCTAATAAGTAAAGAGCTTGTAACAATAGTGTATTCTAACACACCTATACCAAAAGCCCAGTGGAAAAGTGGGCAAGATACATCAACAAATATTCAAACAAAAATAAGTGCAGATAGCCCTTAACATGAAAATCTACCCAAACTGACCTATAATAACAGAGTCCAAATCAAAATTACACCATACTGGGGCTGGAGAGATGGCACTTGCTGCTCTTCTGGAGGACCCAAGTTCAGATCCCAATACCCACATGTGGCAGCTCACAACTACCTTTAACTCCAGTTCCAGGGGATCTGACCAAAAGGTCTCTGGCCTCTGCAGGCACTTGTACACACATATACATACACTCATACAAACACATACACACATATATATATATATACTTTTTTTTCAATTATACTGAACTACCAACCACCATTCCTCATACTAAGTTTGATAGTATGGTGTGTAGATAAGGCTAAGAAAAGTCAGCACTCATATCCACTCAGAGTAAAGATGTGAAATGGCACAACTTAAAGAAGAGGAACTCAGTAATACCTGCCAAAATTATGTATATGTGTTTATTACCTAGAAGCTCCACCTCTACACCTTTTATTACATCATAATTTTTATACTGGTCCAAACAACAAAGCCAATCATTCTTTAAGACCCCTAGAATTGTGAACCAAAATAAACCTTTTCTCTTTTTTATTCTTTTTATGTGTATGAATGTTTTGCCTGCATGTACGTAAGTGCACCCATGTATGCAGTGACCACAGAGGCCAGCAAGGGGGTCAGATCCCCTGGAACTGGAGTTACAGATGGTTGTTAGGCACTATGTGGGTGCTGAGAGACGAACCTGGGTCCTCTGCAAGAGCAGCCAGTGCCCTTAACCACTGAGCCATCTCTCCAGTCCCACCTTCCCTCTTTGTAAATTGATTTATCTCCAATATTTGTGACAGTGATGGAAAGTTGAATAATAATACATAGAGTTATTCTGGAATATTTTTTAAATGTGTATGTGTATTGTCATATAAATCAAGTAGCAGTGCTAGTGTCGTTAGAAATAAGATTTTGGATGTACGAAAAATAAATTTTAAGATTAGTTTAATTAAAATCTTGTAATCTTGAACTTGAATTAAATTCATGTTTTATCTTAAAATGAACATAGTGGGTTTCAGTTGGCACAGAAGGTCAAGACACCTGCTGCCAAGCCTGAAGGCCTTAGTTTAACTCCTGGGACCCACATAGTGAGAGGCGAGAACCAGCTTTTGAAAACAGTCCTCTGGTTTTCAGAAATCTTAACTTCCACACACATGCCATGGCACAGGTATGCCCATACATACTTACACACACACACACACATACACACATACACACACACACACACACACACTAATTAAAAATGTAATAAAATTTTTAATGAAATTGGTTTCTAGCTCCATTTTTTTTAAATATATGAGTGTATTGCCTGCATGTATGTGAATGCACCCGTGTCATGCAGTGCCACAGAGGTCAGAAGAGGGCTTCAGATTCCCCTGGAACTGGAGTTAAGGACGGTTCATAGCTGCTATCTGGGTGCTGGGAATCGAACCCGGGTCTCCTGCAAGAGCAGTCAGTGCTCTTAACCACAGAGCCATCTCTCCAGCCCCTCTAGCTCCATTTTTAAAAATTCAAAATATGACTAGCCACATGTTAGTGGATACCTTGTCATCTTGAATACCATTCCCCATAAACCAGGATTTGCAGGAAATTCCATACGCTGATGATAAATTGAGGATAAATACAGAAGTCAAGATTGACCATCTTTCCATTCCAGGAAACAAAGAAAGTCCTCATGATTTCTACAGTTGTTTGCAAAGGCCTGAGGAACCTCTGAATGCCTGAATAAGCAACCACTAGCCAAATTTTAGACAAATATAGAATCAAGAAGAATAATAAGCTCAGTGGACTGGAATTCACCTAGATTGTTAAATATTTGTGAGCTCATAATGCTAAAACCAGACAAACAAAACTCCCCACTATTTGGTCATCACAAGAAGATGCTAGGGACCCAGCTAGTCATTCTGAAAACTGATGAAGGGAAGGAATTAAGTCTATCCTTCCTTGTTTGCAAGGGTCATATTTCAAGGTAACCAAGTCAGTGAGGAGAGTGACCATTTTCTTTATTGAGTCCACAGCAAAATAAATACTGAGAACATTAGCATTTTGTAATCTCTAAAGAAATTATCTAGGCAACAATCATCAGGAGCCCATAAAATTATTTAAAAATAGAACAGCTATTACTTATCTTTTGAGGAGGTTACACAGCTCCACTACTCAAGTATTCATGCTAAAAAAAATCAGATCAAATCTACAGATCTATCAGCCTACAGGGAATTCAAGGGCAAACGACCTTGTTAAAATCCACTTTGGAGAGTCAGAAATATCTACACTGGAAAATTCCAAAGGAAAACTGGCCCAATTTCATCAACAAATAATTTGCAAAGAAAAATTAGATGGTGGTAGATTTTCCATTAAAATGGTTTGAAAGGCATAAGAAAAGGCAGTATAAATTAAGACATCAAGGGAAATCTGGATAGTTGATTAAATGCAGAATGATGTTAGGGAAATACTGTTAATATTTAGGTATAATAATGGTTTATGCCTATGCTTCAAGGCTACAGTTGAGAGGTACATACTGAAAAATATTTATAGGTAAATTAATAGGGTGCTTAAGGTTGGCTTAAAAATCATCAAAAGAAACCAGGTGTGGTGGCACACGCCTTTGATTCCAGCACTCGGGAGGCAGAGGCAGGCGGATCTCTATGAGTTCAAGGCCAGCCTGGTCTACATAGTGAGTTCCAGGACAGCTGGGGCTACAGGGAGACCCTGTCTCAAAAAGACCAAAAAAAAAATCATCAAAAGAAAAGGTTATAGATAGATGAGACAAACCGTGAGTTGTTGCTTGTAGCATCTAGGTAATGTACACAGAGTAGGTTTTTAAAATGTTTTCCTTTCAAAGTTTGAAGAATTTTATCATGAAAATTAAAAATTCTGTTTAAGTGTAAACACGTCCTGTCTATGTCAGCTGTCTGAACAATGTGCCTCATTTGAAAATGTCTCCTGTACTTCACTTTCCCGAACTTCCTCACTCCTGAGCGTCTTTTCATACACTTTCCTGTATGTGCTAATGCATGTTTTTTCATGTCTATATTTATTTTAAAATACTAACATTTGTTCTGTCTCTCCCACTTTGTTAGGAATTCTGTGAAGACAGAAATTATGGGGATTTTTAAGTGCTTTTGTAAATGTTCCCCAAGGACTTGTTTAATGTTAAATTGGCCGGCATATATTTAGTAATCAGTTGTCTGCATCAGTCGGCTGTGTTCACTGTCAATAAGATTTTCAACTGTCAGTAAAAGAAACTTGTTTTCCTTTACTGTTTTAGAGTCACTTTAATGAACTCAAAATAAGCATAACATTATTTTTATTATTTAGAAACCAACTTTGATCCAGCAGAATGGGGGGCTAAGCTAGATGACCGCTTCTATAACAACCACGCATTCAAGGTATAGTCTTGTGACACTACTAGATTTGGCTTTAATTTCGTCTATCTGTAAAAGAAGTTGTGGGGCTGGAGTGATGGCTAGAGAGATGACTCAGTGTTAAGAGTATTGGCTGCTCTTGCACAGGTCCCAGGTTCTAATCCCAGCACCCACATGGCAGCTAACAACCATCCATAATTCCAGTTCTAGGGGATCCAACTCCCTCTTCTAACCTCCACAGGCACTGCATGACATGGGTACACTTACATACATGCAGGCAGTACACTCATACACATAAAATTTAAGACTAAAGGGTTTTTTTGTTTTTTGTTTGGTTTTTGGTTTTGGGGTTTTTTTTTGGTTTGTTTTTTGGTTTTTGGTTTTTGGTTTTTTGTGTCTTTTTGAGACAGGGTCTCCCTGTAGCCCCAGCTGTCCTGGAACTCACTATGTAGACCAGGCTGCCCTTGAACTCACAGAGATCCACCTGCCTCTGCCTCTCAAGTGCTGGGACTAAATGTGTGCACCACCATACCCAGCTTTAAATAAAGTATTATTTAGAAAATAAAACAATTTGTTATGATCCCCACAAAATTCTAAGAAATGTGTGAAGCATTATAAATAACTTATTAAAACTTTGTAAATTATGGGTCTAGAGAGATGACTTAGTGATTCAGTGCTTACTGCTCTTCCAGAGGACCTGAGTTCACTTCCCAGCACCCACATCAGGTAGCTCACAAGTTGGTGGTTCACAACCACTTGTAACGCCAGCTCCAGGAGATCTGATGCTCTCTTTTAACCACTTACATCTCTTTCACGCACACACGCACAGACACACACACACACATTTTTAAAATACTTTTCAATTTTCTATTTTCTGATAAGAAATTTTCTAAAATATCAAAACTGAGAACAGGTAGTGAATCTAAAGATGACTAGCAGGAAGAAAGGGGTTGATTGCCACACAGTAATCTTTTATTCTTCAAACTTTATTGAGCATCACAATTCTTAGCAAATTATTTATTTAGTTAATGAATTATATTTCATAAAACACTATCAGTACAATTATTATTTTACATTACAAAAAAACTAATTTAAAGATAATGATAGAGTTTTACTGTAAAGCTAGTCTCTTTAGTGACTGAACTCATCTTTCTCATTAGTAATATTTTCAAAGATAGTCCATTCTCAACCAAGATTGGCATTCATTGAAGGCACCCACTGCATCTGATTCTGGTTTGGCATCATTGTTGGGAGAACTGAGAAAATGGCACTCAGTACATTCTGTCCTATAGTTTGAATGAAGACTGTGGGGGCTACATGGGAGCAACGTTAGCATCAACTGGGAACTTGATAGAAATTAAGTCTCGGGGCTGGAGAAATGGTTCAGTGATTAAGAGCACTGACTAGTGTTGCAGAGGACCAGAGTTCAGTTCCCAGCATCCACATGATGACTCACAACTGTCTGTAACTCCAGTTGCAGAGGATCTGACACCCTCTTCTGGCCTTCGTGGGCATTGCATACATGGTGCATTTACATCCACGCAGGCAAAACACTCAAAAAATTTAAAAATAAAAAGAAATTAAGTCTCAATCTGTACACAGGTCTACAAAGCAAAAGTTACCTTTTAAGAAGATTCCTGAAAGTAATTTGTAGGTACATTAAAATTTGAGAAAATTAGCTCAGCGTAGTGGCATGGCCCACTTATCTCAGCTACTGAAGAAGCTGAGGCAGGAGGGTCACTTGAACCCAAAGTTTCAGCTCCAGCATGAGTAACAGTGAGCTCTATCTAAAAATGATGATGATGATGATGATGTGATGATAAAATTAATAAATTTTATTTTATTTATTTTATGTGTATGAGTATATCGCCTGCGTGTATGTAAGTGCAATGCCGCGGAGGTCAGAAGAGGGCTTCAGATTCCTCTGGAACTGGAGTTAAGGATGGTTCATAGCCACCATGTGGGTGCTGGGAATCGAACCCAGGTCCTCTGCAAGAGCAGTCAGTGCTCTTAACCACTCAGCCATCTCTCCAGCCCCTAAAATTAATAATTTTTTAAAAAGTAGAGCACTGCTCTAGACAGCTGAGGAAATAACTTGTACATGTAGCTGTCACTCTAAGTTCAAAAATGAATTTCTGTCCATTTGCAGCTGCATGTTTCTATTTCTGTTTTGGTAGAATCTCTACAATCCTGTTTTTTATTCATTTTTATGAAATCAAAGAGGTAATATTGAAATATTGTTATAGCCTCATGTTACATAGGAAATTCTGGGTGTTTCTATTTCTTTTGAATTCTAATGATTTTATGTTATTTATTTACTTATATATACTTAAATTTGGACTACTCTATTTGGGGGAGAAGACATAAATAGCCACATCAAAACTGATGGAGATTGTTCTTTTTTATACTTAAGTTCCACCCCCCCAGCAAATCTTACCTCCTTTGTTTAATACATTACTGCATATTAATTTAATCAGATATGTATTAATTTAATCATGGGTTTCACTGTGATGTTTTCTTAGGCACACATCATATACTTGATCATTGACACCCCCACTGCCCTCTCCCCAGAGCTCCTTTTCATCTGTAATACTTAGTTTTTTGTGGGTTTTTTTGTTTATTTGCTTGTTTTTGGAGTAATCAACAAAGTTAATGAATTTCATTTCGATTTTGAAAGGTCAGGTGTAGAACAAAATTTTCCAGGCATACAATGATACTTGAAATAATGTATATGAAATATGTAAGCTATTACTGAAGTCTAAAAAAGTGTAGAGTTGAGCGGATATATTAAAGATGGAAGGTATGGATCATTTTCTGTTTATCTGGTTTGGGTTTTTTGAGACCGGGTCTCCCTATAGTCCCAGCTGACCTGGAACTGCCTATTTAGATCAGACTAGCCTCCAACTCACAGTGGTCCACCTGCCTCAGCCTCCTGCATGTTGGGATTAAAGGCATGCACCATCATGTTAGGTTCATGGGGTTTTTTTAAATAAATAATTTATTGAGAATTTCATATATGCATATAAGGTGTTTTGATCAAATCTATGCCCACTCCCTTCCCTCCAACTCCTCCCATATCTCTCCATCATTTTTTCTGATAACTCCATGTACTCTTTCTTCTTCTTTGATTTTTTTTTTTTATGGGGCTTTTGGCTACTCTAACATTCCCCCCTCTGAAGAGGTAACTCTAAAATCTTTTAAGGATTAGGTAAAAGCTCCCAAATATTTTCGACATTTTTGGCCTTTGGAACGGAGTATGTTGTTAAGAGGCCCGAGGACATTTTGACTTTTAGCCAAGAAACTGGCTACTTTTCTTTGAGGCCTTTTTACCCCAGGGACACAGGGTGAGGCAATTTGGAGTACCCCTTCAGTGGGTCTATCTAAAAGACTCCCAAATTGCGTTACTCTTATCTGTAAGGGGAAAAGAAAGTCCTTGAATCGTGTCTAGGAAATGTGAAGGAAACATAAAGGCAAGAGTAATTAACATTACAAGTTCTAGACAGGGAACTAGGAAAAAGTAATAGTTTTAAATCCACAAATTTCATTAAAAAGTCAACTTGACTTCACACTATGGAACACAACATTTATTTAATTGCTATTTTAGAAATTATTGGCATCTTTTTTCCTACTTTCTTCAGGAATCATTATGACATCTTAGGAACTTTTAATACAAGACAATGGTTTACACGTTGGATTTTCATTTATTTCTTCTTGTTTCAAGATATTTTCCTTGTTAAAAGTTAAATATATCTTTAACTCCTCCTGCTTCTCTGTACCTTAATTTCCAATTACTTCTTAAACCATTTGGCTTAAGACTTCGTTATTTTGCAAACAATGCCTATTTGGCCTTCTCTCCTCTTTCCAGGACCAAGAACAATCTGAGGAATATGAACAAGAAATGGCCAAGGCATCTGGGAGAGACGAAGCACCAGTTACTGACTTAGTATGTATTTTCCATGTAAAGTTGTACTGCAAATATGTATCAGCATATTAGCTATGTTGTTAAAATTAGACTTTTACTTTCTAGATAATCAACATCAGTGATAAACTGGTGGATCCTTTTCATAAATTCATTCTTCTCATTTTAATAAATCTTATTTTTCAGTATTGTTAGTGGTCAGAAAATCTGCCCTTGAAAAAAACGCATACAAAGAACCTCAAGCCCTGTCTTGATCTTTCACATTGATGTTCCACTTTGGATAATTTTACTTATTGTTACTATTCCCATCGCACTCTGGAAAAGGCTCAGAGATAACAAAAGGAAAAACAGAATTATATATAGCCAAATAAAATGGCTTTACACAACATGGCTTACTCATGTTCCATGCATGGTCCTCTACAAAGTTGCTTGCTTGCCTTAGCAGCCTACATCCAAGTCAGTGCAGACCTAGGGAAGTCCACCTCCAAAGGTAGCTCTCTGTTATTCAGTGGTGTGCTGAAGATAGTACCCAGAGATGATTGTGCACATCCTACCCAATTCCATGCTCAGTTGTATCATTTTCATAGCTTAAAATCTGATACTCAAAAGTATTAAGACTAAGGTAAGCACTACAGATCAGATCTTTGGTGGGGTTTGGGGGGTCAGCAGTGTTTTATTATATTTTCTATATAGCCAGTTAAACATTTACCAGCACATGGCTGCCTATAATCTTCATAGTCCAGATTAAGAAAGCCTGGGCTTTGTGGGAAAGAAAAACTCATTCTCTACAATGTCAAAGTTGAGAGTTCTGAGTTCTTTTTCATGCCCTAGTATCCCAGTCAACAATAGTTGATACTTAAGATGAATGTGCCCCTAAAGGAATAGCTAACTTCCCACCTGCTGAGGCACAGCTTTTCCTTGTTATTCCAAAATTATATCAGTACACAGCTAGCCCAACATTGGCATCAAATGTAATAGGAAGTCAGGGAAGATAGAGTATCATTTCCTTACCTCTTTTATAGATGCCCTTCTACAAACTTTCATGAATTTGAATTAGGGTCTCATTGATATTTAATGAAAGCAATTCACTTGCCCATACTGGGGAATCTTCTCAGTATTTTATACCACTCCATCTGTATTTATAAGTTTAAGAGCTAAATTTACCTCATGGTATGTATTAGAGGGGATTGAACCACTCAAAGGTCCATGAACAAGTAACTCAGTAAATAAAGCAAAACACATCAGTAGAGTGAAATACAGTAGACTTCTATCCCTCAAAAAAATGAGCAAAATTATATGAGAAATAATAACAGAAAAGAGAATCAAGATATGTTGTCATATGGGAAAAGTAGTTGTAGAACAGTGGTTAGCATGATCTTGTTTTTAAAATTAAAAGCAAATATGTCTTCATATAAATATAGAGAGAGAAATTTTAGAAGGATATATCCATAGACACACATATACACACACACACACACACACACACACACACACACACACACACACCCTATAATAATGGTTGCTTCTTAGGTGCAGAATTTGGGAGGGTGAAGAAAACTTTTCAGCTTTTCACTGCAAGTTTGAGGGTTTTTTTTTAACTTTTATTTTATATGTATGAGTGTATTGCCTGCATGCATGTGAGTGCACCCGTGTTGTGCAATGCTGCAGAGGTCAGAAGACGTCGGATTCCCCTGGAACTGGAGTTAAGGACGGTTCGTAGCCACCATGTGGGTGCTGGGAATTGAACCTGGGTCCTCTGCAAGAACAGTCAGTGTTCTTAACCACTGAACCATCCCTCCAGCCCCAAGTTTGAGTTTTTAAATGTATATTTATCATCTTTATAACTTACAAAGATATTAAGGACCATATATTTTTTTCAGTTGTACACCTAGGATCTGTGCTTTTTGTTTTTGATTTTGTTTTGTTTTGTTGTTGAGACTTAGTCTTACAGTGCAGCCCTGACTGGTCTGGAACTTGCTATATAGACCAGGCCGGCTTCCAACTTACAGAGATCCGCCTGCCTTTGCCTCCCAAGTGAGGGATCAAAAGCATGTGCCACCACACCTGGCTGGACCAATGCATTTTTGCCATCTGTACATTATACCTAAATTTTTTTTTAAAAAGAGAGAAAGGGAAAAAAGAAACTATATGCCAGTGTTCAGCCAATCATGCTAAACCTGACATTACTGGAGTAAATGAATTTCTCTCTGATGCTCCACCTCTAGATGGATTGTATTGATTGATTAAGCACTTAGAAATCACTAATTTAACATTTAAATCCTATGGAATGGTAATTATTTCAGAACAGCACATCTACTAGTCTTAGCATTTGCACTGTGCTTCAAATATTCTTTCTTATTACCCACCTTAAGAACAGTATTTCTCAGGAAACTTTAAATAGGAGCTGTTTGGGAACAAGAGAAAAGAAGTTGGCACTGATCATTTATTGTGAGACATATTAAGGAGTGGCAACACTGAATCTCTGCTATTTGGCATTCAGTGTTTGATACACATACAGTGTGGCAACATATAAAATCCTCCCAGGAAGCAACAGCTCTCACATAGTTGCATCTGTACCCCGGTTAAATTTCTACATTTGTTTTGTGGCATCAAAAATACAGACTGCTGGAGAAGCCTCTTTTTCTCCTTTCAATTAAGGAGTCTTCTGAGGAAGATAAAGAAAAGGAGGAGTGTGCTGCTCTCAAAATCCAATCAGTCTTCCGGGGACACATTGCCAGAGAAGAGGTAAAGAAAATGAAGTCAGATAAAGGTGAACAGGGTGAAAACGAAGAGGGAAACTAGTGCGGACACCAGCTTTACCCCCCAGAAAACTTGAAAAAAGAATCCAGATCGATCAATATCGTGATTGTCATTTTTTTTCCCTCAGTAAGAGATTTGATGTTGTGGAATAACATTTGTTGCTATTGTGAAAACCTGTCATGAGCATTTGTTTAATAAACATGCCACTACACCACTCGGGAGCACGAGGACTGTTGATGTTCATCCTGTCAAACCTGAAGAAACACCTTCAGATTCAGTGTCAGAACTGGAGTATCTGAAGCTTCTGTGATCTCAGAGGTCATGTGGGCTAATTGTTATCTAGTGAATGAGTCCTCCCTAACACATCCATGAAAATGATCTTTGGCTTCTGTTTCATGTCTGACAGAAAAGAATGTCACTGCCTTTCAAGGTTAAGTCTACTTATTTGTTGTTTTTAGTGGTGAGGTGGTGCGGCTGTAGATGGATCCTGGGCTTTGAGTGTAGTGGACAAGTACTCTGTTGCTTCTAATCCTGTGCTACACCCCAAGCCCCTTATTTTTAGTAGTTTGAATTATAAGGATAAGTAAAAATCCTGCCATTTTATAAGTAGTACCATTGGTTTTCACTTGTCATAACATGCATTCAACTCATTGAAAATGTGTTAAGTGCCATTAATGTCCTAGGATTAGAGGTAAATATTTGTTTCTTCATATAGCTTATAGTTTTGTTTTTTGAGTTTTGTTTGTTTAAAGACAGGATATCATTATGTATCCTGGCTGCCCTTGAACTCACAGAGATCCACTTGCCTCTGCTGGGATTAAAGGTATGTGCCATGAATGCCTGGCCCAAGTGATACTTTATGAGCACTTACCCATTTGTTTGTTGTTGTTTTTCCCTATCTCTCCAGGCTGCTCCTTCTCAAGCTTTTTCTGTGTGCTCGTCAACTCCAACCACTGATCACTGAAGATCCTCCTGACTCAGTCATTGGGCTCCTCTTTAAAGCTCACCTGCCCATGTCATTCAGTCTACTGACTTCATAACCATCCCCGTATGATTGTTCGAGACCTTTCTCCCTCCAGCTCCAACTTTGTACATCCAACTACCTACTTAACATTCCTATTTGAATGTCTCAAGAAGCCCTGTCCAAAACAGCTCCTAATATTGCCCACTCCCCAAACTGCAATTCTCTGTGTTTCCCACCTTGGAAAACAGTGTTTTGTATGGACCAGAGAATGATCTGCAATAGTCATACTTTGTTTTGAATAAGTGAATTTATTAAGTATATAATATACCAAAAGTAAAAGGATAAGTAGCAAGAGATGGAGGGAGGGAGGGAGGGAGGGAGGGAGAGAGAGAGAGAGAGAGAGAGAGAGAGAGAGTGAATCACATTGAGCACTCAAAACATTCAGCAGAAATCAACTGAGAAAGCCCCCATTAAGGCAGCCAGCTGGCATTTGTGGTAGAGAGAATAATCCTAGGCAGAGCAGAGTGTCCCCATTGGGTGAGGCTTCCAAATAAAAGAACAAATAGCAACAGATAGAGATAATTATCACATACCCAGGGCTGATAAACATCCAGCAGAAACCTACTGAGGAAGCCCTGTTAAGGCATCCAGCTGGAAGAGAGAGAGAGAGAGAGAGAGAGAGAGAGAGAGAGAGTGAATCACATTGAGCACTCAAAACATTCAGCAGAAATCAACTGAGAAAGCCCCCATTAAGGCAGCCAGCTGGCATTTGTGGTAGAGAGAATAATCCTAGGCAGAGCAGAGTGTCCCCATTGGGTGAGGCTTCCAAATAAAAGAACAAATAGCAACAGATAGAGATAACATTATCACACCCAGGGCTGATAAACATCCAGCAGAAACCTACTGAGGAAGCCCTGTTAAGGCATCCAGCTGGAGTTTCTGTGCAAAAGAGTCCCAGGCAGAGCAGAGTGTTGCTTTGGGTAATGCTTCCAAATAAAAGAACAGCAACAGACAGATAACATTGTCAAGTTGGGCACTCAAAACATCCAACAAAAACCAACTGGGGAAATTGAGGCTGTCAGCTGGAGTTCCCAATTGAGCTTTCTTGTCCATGAACAAGCTTCCCAGGGCTGAACTTCCGGCTTCCTCTATATCATGGGGCTAGATAAGTGATAACGAATAATTTCTGTGGGAGATAGTTTACCTTCTAGTTGTTTTCAAGCACATGATGTTTTTACTCTTGAGCTGTTTTGCTCTTTTCTCTCCCTGTCACAGAGTTAGGTGATCTGGCCCATCCTGAAACAAGGGGCTTTGGAGGACACTGAAACACAGATATGCTTGGTTCTGAAATGGAAGATGGGGCAACCCAGCTTCCACAGCCAGCTTCTCAGTGAGCTCAAACAACATGTGACAGTTTACCAATCTAACATACATTAGGCCACCCTATTCTTTCAGCTCTCCAGGCCCAAATTTTCAGATTCATCCTTAACTCACTACTTTCTCTCCCATCAGCAAAATCTGTGGGCTCTACCTATAAAGTATAGCCAGAGACTAAACACATCTCACTACTTCAATTGTAGTATGTTGACCCTAGTTCCCATCATCTCTCTCATGAATTAGTGCAATATCCTTTCACTGAGGCATACTGTGTGCTCTAAGCTCAGCCAACTGTACTGCCTCTGCTTCATGTAGCCTATCTAGAGTCCATGCTGACAGATGCAACCAGGACAAGCATTTGTGGAGGTCACAGAAGCAAAAGCAGGAAAACCCCACAGGTGAAAATATTTCAAGCATTTGCTCTTACAACTTGCATTGGCCATCTCATTGACCAAAAAAAGTCATTCATCCAAGCCCAAAGGCAAGAAGATGAGGAAATTTACTGCCCACTGAAACCATAGCTGCAAGAACTCTTCTGTGTGCATGATGCTACTTCCGAGTTGGGAGGAACTGGGACCAAGAATTCAATCTACTGAAATCTGCTTTCTTGTGATTACATCCTCCCCACATGTAAAATCTATTCACTCCTATCTCCAAACCTCTAAAAGTTCCCTCAAATCATTCAGGTTGAGAAACTTATCAACATTGGGTCCAGCTTTACTTCTTCTTGATGTAGAAACCTTTAAATTACAAAGCAAGTAACCGTCATAATTACGAAATCTCACTGACCCAAGTAATACTTCAAGAGCACCTATCTGGTTTTTTTCTCTCTCTCAGCTGCTCTTTCTCAATCTTTCTGATTGCTCTTCAACTCCAACCCACTAATCACTGAAGATCCTCCCAACTCAGTCATTGGATGCCTGTGTGAGATGAGTGGTGGAATAATGTTGCATAATTAGGCACCTGGTCATCCTCAGCTCCTGGAGATCATTCTTTTCCTGTCTTCCTGAGGCATTTGCAAAAGCCTTTAGAGAACAAGCCCCTTTTGGTGAATAAGCAGGTTTCTCAACCTGCTTCCTGTCTATTGAGAATTTGAGTCGAAGGATCGGTTTAAAACTTACATAGGTTCTCTCTTTTCAGGTGATAGTGATACTTTTAAAATTAGTGAATATTCTGTGGATTTGCCTGCAGTCTATGCTAAAAGCTAGACCATACATTTCTTTGAAGATTCTCCCTCTTAAGAATTGGAACTAAATTTCATTAAAGCCTCCTGTCATAATTCTCTCTCTGTTTCCAAAGGAACAGAGCTAATTATATAATTTAATATATAATTTATAATTATGTAATATATACTATATCAAATACGTAATATGTAATTAAATCCCATATATATAAAATAAAGGCTGAGAAGGCCTACAGTATACCATCAGCAAACCAGAGAACCAGGAAATTCAGTCATGTAATTCAGTCAGCCTGAGTCTGAAGGTTCATGAGAACCACAGGAACCAAAAGTATAACTCTCAGTCCAAGGCCAGAGGCTTGAGAAATAAGAGTGGAGGGCTATCTGGCCTAAGTCCTAGAGTCCAAGAGATCCAGCACCAAGACCAGGAGTTCTGATGTCTAAGGCCAGAAGAAGGTAAATTGTTCCAGCTCCAAAAGAGCATTTTTGCTCTGTTGAGGCCCTCGGTGTCAGCCCACCCACATTAGTGATGGCAGACCTTCCTTATCTAGTATACCAATTCAAATGCTAATCTCTTCTATAAACCAGTCAAGTTTATACACAAAATTAACTCACACACTCCCTGTCCCCTTCATCTGCCTCCTGGCACCCCATTTCAACACAGCAACCAGAGGGTCCTATTATAATTTAAGTCATTCCTCTGCTTAAAACCCCCAATGACTTTTTATTTCACTAAGAATTATAGGCCAAGTCTTCATAATGGTCTGTAAAGGCCTTTGCCAATTTTTCTCTCTTTTTTTAAAGACTAATTTTCAGGGGGCTGGAGAGATGGCTCAGTTGATAAGAGCACTAGCTGCTCTTGCAGAAGATCTGGGTTTGGTTCCTGGCACCCACATGGTGGCTCACAACTGTCTATAATTGCAGTTCTAGCTCGTATCCAATGACCTCTTCTGGCCTCTGAGGGCACCAGGCATACACATGGTGCATATATGTACTTGCAGGCAAACATTCATATACGCATAAAAAATAATCGTGGATGGTTGTGAGCCACCATGTAGGTGCTGGCAACTAAACTCAGGTCCTTTGCAAGAACAGTACATGCCCCTAACCACTGAGCCATCTCTCCAGCCCCTGCAGACCTTTTTAACCTCCAACTCCATCTTGCTTATTAATCTGGTTGTAGAAACACTGTTGTCAGACATTCTAGGCAAGCTTTGACATCGGGGATTTTACGTGTGTTATTCCCTGTATCTCTGTTTGAAATGCTTTTTGCCAGATACTCGCTCTCATTCAGGTCTTTACTCAGTGAATGAAAGCGAGACCCCCTGAGACCCTTACCTAAAAGAAGCTTAAAAAAAAACAACAACTTCCTTTTCCTTCCCTTCTCATTTTTTCTCCTTGGTTCTAAACATCAGTCGGTTTATCTTGCCCACTGCCTAGTAGAATCTGACCTATGATGAGGATAGAGATGTGTTATTTTGTTCACTGTGTCACTGTGCAGAACCTTTTTTTTTTTTTTAACATGCAACAGGAAATTGCGTCATTTCTATTCCTTTACACAGAAGAGGGAGGAGCCCCAGCAAATACCTCCCTTCAGCTAATTCATTTTTAATGGATTATACCTATATCCCTGAATCGATCACTGCAGTCATGAGGAAGAAATATGCTAATTGACTTATACTTATCACTATAAGATCATGCCTCTGGAATAGAGGCAGTCAATTCTTCCCAAATAAATCTAGATGAAAGTAGAGTAAGTTTAAAGTCTCCTGTAGGAAATAGGCATATTTTCAGAAAGAAAGGAGAATGGATGCTGGGCAGGCAACCAACAAACACCATTTGGCTTCTCATTACACTGTGCTGTTTGTTAAAAAAGTAAATCTTAGAGAAGTAACAATGAAAGGAAAAATAGAGGGAGGGTTAATACAATATGGAAATTTGGGTAACTTGCTGTGCTGGGCAGTTTTAATTATCAACTTGACACAACTTAGAATCACCTGGGAAGAGAATCTCAACAAGGGATTGTCTAAATCAAACTGGCCTGTGGGCATGTTTGTGTGGGATTATTTTGATTACATTAATTGATATGGGACACCCAGGGCATGTCCACTGTGGGCAGCGCCATTCCCTGGGTTTGAGTCCTGAACTGTATAAAAGTGGAGATGGGGGTGGAAAGATGGCTCAGTAGTTAAGAACACTGGTTACTCTTGCAGAGGACCAAAGTTCAGTTCCCAGCACCCACATGGTGGCTAACAACACTTCTTCTGACTTTGGCAGGCATTGCATGACATGGGTGCATTTACATATGTGCAGGCAATACTCATGCACATAAAATTAAAAATAATAAAAAATATTTTTTAAAAATTTAAATAGCCGGGCGTGGTGACGCATGCTTGTAGTCCCAGCACTTGGGAGGCAGAGGCAGGCGGATCTCTGTGAGGTTAAGGCCAGCCTGGTCTACATAGTGAGTTACAGGCCAGCTGGGTAAAGGGAGACCCTGTTTCAAAAAGACCAAAAAAAAGGTAGACTGCAATAGGGAAATATTATAAAATTACTTGTGAAGACAGGAAGATTACAGGGGGTCTCTACATAGTTCCAGGCCAGCTGGGGCTACAGGGAAACCCTGTCTCAAAAAGACCAAAAAAATCCAAAAAATTAAAAATAAATAAAAATAAGAGTGGAGACAATGGAGCTGGAGAGATAG